ATCCATGCACATCCATGGGAAACAAGTCGTGAAATGTGACCGCCGTTCAAAACCTAGATAATTACTCATGAAGAATAGAAACATTCGAATATCTTTCTTACCTTCAACTGTTTCTGTGCGACTATATTTAGAGCGACAAGTGTCGATCTCGCAACATCCAAGTCCACGCTTCCATTGTCAGCATCGGCTGACGGAGTAGCCATTTCATAAATGCGAGCTAACAAGTCAGCTAGTACTTCAGACGGATGCTTTCTGCAAAACAGAAGAGAATAGTAAGAACAGTATTTTATAGACAAGTACATAGCTTTGAACAGCTTACTCGTTCACTCCTCCCACTTCTATAAGCTTGTTGAGCATGTGTTGTAAACATTTGCTCGCATTCGAACGAGTATGTGTGCTGTTAGCCTGAAGCTGAGGTCACTAATGAAGCACAGTTTTGTATACTAAAAAATTTACCTTATCAAGTGATAGAATAATCGCATCAAGTGAGCGAAGGCAAAACTCAGAAAGTGTTTTGAGATCATCGAACGAATTGATTGTCAATGTAACACAGGCACACTAGAATTTTTTTCCTTTTTTTCAATTTCCTCAACTAGAAAAAGAAAGTAAAAACTAGGATTTTGGCACTTACAAAAGCAGCCCTGGCGGGCGGCTGAATGCTACCGACCGGGCGTGATAATGCATTCTCAAAATCTGATGAACAAGAAGAAAAGAAAGTATCCAACTCCGGTGACCCTCTGAACACGATCTTGTATCATTTGTTGCAACAAAACTCAGCCAAACCTCCTAGTCAGAATTTCCTCCAAGATTCGGAATGCCTTCTTTTGCAGCCCGGTTGTATCTGTCACGCTGAACCATGGATTAATCGTGCTCGCAATCTTTTGTAGCGTAGAAGAGTCCGCAGTCCGTGCAAGAGCGCATAAAATATCCAGTATGCGCGCCTAAAAGTAGTGCAGAATTTACACGAATCAGATGTGGTCCAAAATAACAAAGGAAAAGTGAACTCAAGAGAGAACAGTACCTGCCTGACAGTGTCTTCAGATGCATCTTTGGCTTTTGTCATTGCAGCATCCACAAATTGAGCGATCAGCTCTTTAGGAGCTACCTCTGCGTAAGTGCGGATCGTATCCAGCACCGCTGCTCTAAAAAATGATTTGTAACATAAAGCACAAATCTAAGAATAAAAAACCTACTTCAATCCTTTATCATCGATTTTGGTCTCCACATTTGTGGTATACATGTTGAACAGCAAAGGCATAAAATTCTTTGCATATGCACCAACAACCTAAAAATGCATATCAAAAACAAGAAACGGCGCACATGCACAAGACAAAATTACCTCAGTACGTTCTGGAGCATCCGGCTGCAATGCAAATTTCACTACCCTTCTCAAAGCAGAAAGGATTGTGAGCTTAAGATCATCTCGTTCATTCATAGCTGCTCCAAGAACCTTAACGAAAATATGTTTTATGGCAAAAAAAATTTCTAAATAAATTGTATGATCCTCGATACCTACCGGAGCAAGCTGAGGGAACGATTTCTCAAGATCCGAAGGAGAATCACAGAACGAAGGAAGCAACTCCCACAACTGGGTCTGTAGGGTGGTGTATAATCGCTGCGGGACAGGATCCAGTGTTGGGAGTCTTCTGTAACAAACAGATATATGATGCTGAACGACAAAAATATATGAGCGGCCATGCAACTTGAGCAAATCAAAAAGTCAACTGTGAACACTAAGCTAAACAAAGCGGATAGGGATTTCGGCTACTATCTTATTGTTAGTCGAGAAATGTATAGTAAGAAACTAAACAGTGGCACACCTGTATATCTTCACGGCGATAGGAAGAATATGGGAAGCGAAATAAGCTAGCGGTGCATTGTGCAAGTTTACTCGAAGTACGGGGATTAACCAAGAACGAGAAAACTCCGTGCTAAGAACAGCAGCATTTGGATCTATGTCCAAAGGAATGATTGCCAACACCGCAGGAGCACCAACATGACGTACGGCACATCCGACCGTCTAAATACAAATTCAATTTAAAAGAGCAAGGCAAAGTCCAGATTACAACTCCACAGATGCCACTCACAAAGTCAAGCTCCTGCTTACAGCCGCAGTTGTCGCTTTCTCGCAAAAGAGCCAGTGTTTTCAGAGCGTGATTGAACTCATCGCCAATTATAACAGGGCCAGCAGCTTCAAAAAGCCGCATGTGAGATCTGTAAAAACGACATATATACCATATTGACCATTTGACTCTGCAACCGCTCACCTCAAGACATATTTCCATACTACCGTAGACTGTATATTTAAAGCACGATCAAGCATTGCAAGCAATTTCT